GGCAGTTTGTTCATGTTTAAAATGGTGAATGCTGGGATTTGACAATTAGTGGAAAATAGTGACATGTTATTACCAGGAATTGCTACTTGATCCCTGAAACACAACAGGCAGTGTAATTATAGGTTTTTCCTGGAAATAACTTTAGATGCTAGAAGTCTTTCCCAAATAGCTCTTTGGGTGTGGTGGTGTGGTGCCTTATAGTTCGGTCAGAGCCCACATTTCCATTACTGTATGCACTTTTGTTCATGTTTTAATCTGGAGTTATGGGTGATGTTGATAGAGGCTCCAAATATCTTATTGTCATCATATCACTGACCAGAATCTCTCCTGAACTCACGTCCTACCATTGGCATGTTTTGGAGGATTTACAGTTTGATTAGTTAACCTGTTTGGCTGCGTTATTAATGGTAACTCTTTTTGGTTATCAAGTCCTTGGATGGGACTTGAATCCAAAACCTCTGACATGGAAGCAGAGATGCTACTTTGTGTGCCACAATAACTCTATCATAGATATATTCACATCATATGGATTGCAGTGGTTCAGGATGACTACTAACCATCACCTTCTCAATGGCAGTTTGGAATGGGCAATAAATGCTGGCCTTGTTGGTGATTATCACATCCAATGAATGAATATTGGGGGAAAAACAAACAAATGAAATCCTGATATTTGCAGTAGAGGAACCAGTAATCATGATGCACATAGGTACCAATGTCATTGGCAAGACAAAGGAGATCCTGCATAATCTGTATGAAGAGCTAGCTGCCAAACTAAGAAACAGATCTTCAAAGATTATAGTTTCTACATTATTACCTGAGCAAGGCACAAATTGGCATAGGGCGCATCAGATTAGAGAGAAACGGATGACTAAAAGACAGGTGTAGAAATGGGTTCCAGTTCAACGGGTATTGGAACCAGTGCTGGAGAAAGTGGGGCCTGTACAGACCTGGGACAGTCTCCACCTGAACCATGCTATAGCCAGAGTACTTAGCAACTGCATAACCAGCAAAGTAGTGAGGATTTTAAACTGAATAGTGGGGAAGATTGAAATTAATGAGTAGTAGGCCAAAAAGAAAGTTCAGGAAACCAAGATATGGAAACTGTTTTGTTTAAAAGGAGAGATTATAAATGCAAGCAGTCACTGTGGGAGTGGCTCCTTAACAAACCCCACACAGTAGGGTTGGGTGTAAACAAGGACATCTGAGCAGGTATATTGAACTTCAGCTTGCTGTTTCCATGTCACTGAGCATGGAACAGCATTTTCAGGCACCCTCCATGGGCATGACCCACATGCATCCCTCGTTCATAGACACTAGCATTCTATATTTGCCAACTTCTCCACATACATAGGGCACCAATTTGAGCCACATGCTGAACACTAAGGAACGTCAGAGCTGCATTTCAGGACACAACTAACTTGGGAAGACTGGTGCAAGGGCATTCTGCATGCAGGGTCAGGCACTCAGTCTATGGATTGGGCCAGGCTGCATCTCGGGCTTGCTCCCTTACTCAACACCTACTTGCATGCTTGCAGCAACCATGGTGTGCCTTGCCGTACCATACCAGTTAGTGGGTTAGCGCTTCACTGAGAGCTTAAAGGCCATATCAGTACTGCTGTATTGATGTGCTCTTTTGCACAGATGCATAAACAGGCTGTTCAGTAGGAGGGATCTGTCCAGGGCAGGGGGACTACTTGCTAAAGAGCATGCCAAGCTGTTGATCTAATACTTACAGCTTGTGTCAGCTATTGTGTGACAAGTACACTTGCATATTCATTCAATCAAATGGCCGTGTCAGAAAACAAGATGGGAGCTAGTCCTCAGTGCAGTCTAGTGGGGCACTGCTGTCGATCGGGAAGTGGATGCAGAGACCAGTGTGGGCATCATTGAGGGTCACTGGCACAGTTCAGAGGGGCAAGGAGGACTGATGAAGGCCAAGTTTAATGTGGTGGGTCTCAACATAGAGGCAAGAATGGGTGGAAATAGCCTGTTGAGATAAAGGGTACAAGGTGGCAGTGGGAGGGTGTCTGGTGACCAGGTGCAGTACAATGTTGATGATGTCCACCACAACTGGCATTTTCTGCCATCGCTTGTCATTCTCTAGATGCTAACTTCAAACCCCAAAAATAAATGGATAGGACAACTCCCAGGGTGGAGTTGGTGTTAGTTTGTTGGGCGAAAGCACAGGATCCACATCTGCTGGACATGAGAACATTGAAGGGGAAAATACATAAAACATGCACTTGCTCCAGCTATGTTTAATTTCCAATTAAAAAGTGATTTTTCACCATGCCATTGGTGCTTGAAAATTGAAACATTGGCATCTGAATGATGCAGCTATTAACAGCAGTGACTTAAGAGGTGAATGCTGGCCAAAAGCAACCTGTAACTTGTGAAACTTGTAAATGTTATGGGGGGTGGAGAACATCACTTCATCATCTGTGATATAGGCATTACGATGGCCTCCGCTGAATATAATGAAAAGTTGAATGCTTGATGTGGGTCTGGGGTGGAAAGGAGGTCAAAGAGTAGAAGGCAATTCCTCTCTAATATAATGTGTTGGCCACTCAGCTGGCACGGCACCTTCAGCAGGGATAGCAAGAACTGCCAGTGCTGGAGTCAGAGATAACAGTGTAGAGTTGGAGGAACACAGCAGGCCAGGCAGCATCAGGGGAGCAGGAAAGCTGACATATCGGGCCGGGACCCCCCTCCATAAAGAGGGGTCACCACTCGAAAAAATTAACCCAGTATTAATTGGGTTAGAGTACATTTCGGCAGAACTATTCTTTTCAAATTTTCACATGTCTGGAATATTTTACTAAGGATAGTGACAACTTTGAAAGGTATTCAAAATCATGAAGGGTTTTAGTTGAGGAAATAGGGAGAAACAAATTCCAGTGGTTCAGGGCCATTAAAAGAGATCATGGATTTAACATAAGTGGCAAAAGAATCAGGCATTTGAGGATTTTAATGCAGCAAGAAATGATGATCTGGAATGTACAACCTTGAAGGGGTGCTTGAAGCAGAATCAGTAATTTTAAAAAGGGTACTGGATAAATACTTGAAAGTGCAAAACAGAAACCTGCAGGATATGGGGCCAGGTAGAGGAGGAACATGTGTGGAACTAAGGAGTGATTACAGGATAAATAGGTTTCTTCTGTTTCATTTTATGTTTCTGTTGTTTTCTGTGATCTCAAAATGCAAAATGCAGTTTGTAAGGCATTCAGCTAAACAGACAATGACTTTTCAAAATTTAATTGCTAGTTTCTGTTGAAATAAACCTCTTGCAACCACTGCAGCAGTATGCAACTTCCAACGACCTTTAGCATCTTAGGATTTTCTCACTCCTAGCTACTATCAAATGAGTTCTGTTGGAGACTTTATTATAACACTCCTCGTACCCAGTTGAGTTAGCTACCAAAACCTACTGATGCCTTTGGAACTGTGCCACAATTTAAGATCTTGAAAATCTTTGAGAGATGCCATGTTTAACAGCTACAGTAAGATGGTGTGAAAAGAAATGTAATTGCGGTTGGAATAAAATATACTTCAATGTTGTGACTTATTCATGCTGCTATTACTAGCTTCACGTCTACAGCTTAATCATTAAAATATCTGATTGCACTGAATGTTATCAGTAAAGCACATCTTGTGTCTGATAAGTATAAATGATTTCATACAAATAAGTATGATATCTTCATGAAGTAGTATTTACTGAACAACCCATTGAATAAGTAAATGTAAACATCATGCAAATGCAAATGATTTTCTGAAGAAGGGTCCAGGCCCAAAACGTCAGCCTTCCTGCTCCTCTGACGCTGCTTGGCCTGCTGTGTTCATCCAGCTCTACACCTTGTTATCTCAGATTCTCCAGCATCTGCAGTTTCTACTATCTCTGATGCAAATGTATCACTGCTTATCAACATCAATCTGGAAATTATTGCATTGCTGTTTATGGGAGCTGCTCATGTACAAACTGGCCACAGAATTTCCTTCATTAAAACAGTTGTTTAACTTCACTGCTTTAAGGATGTCCTGAGGTTGCTGAATGTACTACGTAAATGCAAGTCTTTTCATCTTCGGACATCCAATATTACTCAACTGTTTTGGCTCTTCATTTTGAAACAAACTCTCCTTGCAAAGCTAACAACATTAACTTAATTTTGTTGAAACTTGATTAATGGTTTAGAACTCCTGATTCCTTTCATCAATTATCTACTATAGAATGTATTTGAGTAATTAATCCTTCATCAATGTGCTACATCAATCAGAAAAGCAGTAATCAATGTTAGCTCTTCTTTTGTCTTAGAGGCTTGGCAATGTCATCAGCTGTTTACCCATCCCAACTATCTTTTATTCTGTTCATTATCTTTGCTTTTGTGAATGATAATGGAACCAACTACAAAGCCTTGGAGCTTGAAACCCCAACAATTCTGGCACATTGAGTGAATCTACAAATACTATGTTAATGTCCTTTTGTATTGTCCCGCAATAGCCTGTTGAGAATGCCTCCCTCTGTCTCACCTACAGTCCTGCTGGCCTCTCTGACCCCTGCTGCTTATCAAAGCGCACTCTACCTGTGCCCTGTCATTCTGCATAAACCTTTCTAATTACATAATTCAATCTGTTACAAAGACTCCCTTATTCCATTTTAGCTTAGTCCGGTAAGTCATCTCTGAATGTCAATTTATTTTCCCAGTCTGCAACTGGCTATTAGCATTCATTTCCCTTGCTCAATGACTGGCTAATGAGTTCTCTAGCTTTTTCAATGGTTAATGATACTCGGCAGTGTCATGCCTCAGGCAGAGTTCAGCAGGTGACAGTCTTGCAGGTAGGGACTGGGGGGAGGGCAAGAGCCAGACCTGTAATTATGAGGCAATAAGGTACAATTGACTGTTTGAACAGCAAGTTACGGTGCATTCCCAGCTAAGCAGGTGGTCCTGGATTCTTATTTTCTGCCCATTGTCATTAATCTTCATGCTTTATTCCTGTTCCTGCAGGCGTAGAAAATACAGCAAAGCCAAGCAGGAAGCAGATGAAGAGAAGCATTTGCATAATGGACAAGGTATGTGATAATAAGAGATAACAAGGTGTAGAGCTGGATGAACACAGCAGGCCAAGCAGCATCAGAGGAGCAGGAAGGCTGACGTTTCGGGCCTAGACCCTTCTTCAGAAAATTTTCTGAAGAAGAG